ATAATAATAATAATAATAATAAAACATCAGATTTTTCTCTACAGTCTGTGTTGTTAGCCATGTTAGTAATAATGCAGACATTCCCCTTTGACTTCACTTCCTGTTACTTCACATACAAATATCTCAACAACTGTTGATCTCAGAGGTTTGAAATTGGTTTTGTAGTATGTTTTAAGTGTTGTCTTTCCAAAAATGCATTCATAGTTATTACTAAAATTTGATGTCACAGGCACTTTAAGTTATGATTATACTTTATATATCAAAAATCAGTTTGATTCGCATCACAGCCTATCTAAACCTATTGGCCTCTATCTCTTTAAGAAGCTCTTACCATTTCTGACACTCCCACTTCAGCACATCTTCACAACAATGCTTTGAGGCAGGGGTTCTCTATAAAGCAGAAGCTCACCTGGAGACTGAGCTCCTGGGAGGAGCTATGTACAAATAGGCGGTGCTTTGTACCAGCAAGCATTTAGGCAGCTCCACTTGGCTACCACAGGAGATTCAAGGATTTCTCAAAGATGCTTGAGTCAAAGCTACAATTTGGATATATTTTAGATGAGGGAATGACATTATAGCATAATAAAGCTCAAATAAGTTSATTTTGCAAAACACCCTCCCTTTAATCAAGCAGTCTGTTCCTTCAGGTAGTTACTACAGCACCGATAAACCGAACCCCCGAGGAGAAATTTTGATCGGCGGGCCCAATGTAACGATGGGTTACTACAAAAGTAACGGCAAGAATCAGGAGGACTTCTTTGTGGACAAGAATGGCCAGAGGTGGTTCTGCACTGGAGACATCGGAGAGTTCCACCCTGATGGATGCCTCAAGATCATCGGTAGGAGACCCACCAAGGGATGCGTTCGGTTCTGGTGATCAGATAAAGGTGGTAAAATAATCATCACGCATTTGTTTTCCAGACCGTAAGAAAGACTTGGTGAAACTGCAGGCGGGTGAATACGTCTCTCTTGGAAAAGTGGAGGCTGTCCTAAAGAACTGCCCTTTTGTCGATAATATCTGTGCCTACGCCAACAGGTATCCTTTTCATGTCTCTTCTTTTTTTCCCTCTTTTTATTTGCTTACACTGAGAGGAAGTGTTGATTAAATCTTTCTTTGTTTTTTTTAGTGATGAGTCATATGTGATCAGCTTTGTGGTGCCTAATCACAAACAGCTGATGGCCCTGGCGGAGCAGATGCAAATCAGTGGTGCATGGGAAGAAATCTGCAACAACCCCCAGATGGAGAAAGCGGTCCTCCACATCATCACTGAGGCTGCCGTTTCAGGTAGAAACCAAAAAGTCTTGTGTCCCAATTCAGGGGCTGCAGCCTATCTAGACTGTGGCTCACCCGGGCCAAATCCTACACAGTCCAGGTAGGCTGCATCAAACAGCTGTGAAATGAGACAGTCTTTGGATGACATATGTTGGTGTGACGACACATTACTTAAGATACTGTCTGATGTCCCTATGAGGCTGACTCTTTGTTCTCTCCTCCAACCAGGCAAACTGGAGAGATTTGAGATCCCCAAGAAGATCCGGCTGAGCGCTGAACCCTGGACACCAGAGACCGGTCTGGTCACCGATGCATTCAAACTGAAGCGCAAGGAGCTCAAAACACACTACCAAGACGACATTGAGAGGATGTACGGTGGCAAATAGCACCAAGATCCACTCCGGGCATCACACACCCTTAACTTGAACACACACGAGGAGCTAACCTGAACTACTCCATGAGGACTCAAAACTTGTAATGTAGGTAACATGTTATTTTACACAAAGCAGACTTCACCTTCTCTGTAACCAGCTTCGATCAACGGTAGGAGAACAATTTGGAGTCCAGTTTTAACTCTTYCATTTAAAACCAAGAGGCAGAAAGAACCCTGACCAGAGAAGACCGAGCCAGCCAGGCAAAACACTAATACATCCCTCTGAGTTGCGATGACGACCGACGTGGCACATGAACTTTGGGTCTTTGCATGACTCAAAGTGAAAAGAATGTCATGGTAGATAGATCCGAGTCCGTCTCGCCACACCATCTTGGTTTTTCCCACCCTTCTCCCCGGCTTTCTGGAGCATTCCACCTTTACAGCTCGGTTGTTGTTGTGTGGCACAGATACCCGACAGGGGGCAGTGCATAGCATTGGCCTGACCGAGGGAACTAAGTAACTTTCAGGTCAGAATCTTTGCAGGGATCTCTATTATCTTTGTTTTATTTTGTTTTCTTGCGTGCATTGCAATATTTTGTATGTGTTTTGGTGTGTCAGCTTTGAAACCCATTTCTTTGTGATGAATCAGTGTTGCAAAGCCATGAGAGATTTAGGATTAAGACGTACATTTTATTACTGTTATTATTCAGAGAAATTCCGTCTCTTATACGTTCTTATTTTGTATTTCTATCTTTTTTGTGTTCATACATGTGATGAGCTGCGTTTACATTTTTTTTTAGGTCATATTCTCCTTTCATTTTCTGGCGAGCCAAAGTCTGCTCATTTGAGTGTATGTTTACTTGAGTCTTTATTCCCTGCTCGTTGGATTGGGATCAAAATTTGGGGTACCTGTCAAGGCAGTGAATCCTGTAGCACTTGTTTGTTGGCACACGCGTGTCCTGTATTCCTGCTGTTGTGACCAATGCACCACCTGGATGTCTCCAAGGGAACTTAACTTGTCTTAGGATGAAAACTTACATTAGTTAGCCTTTCACTGATTGCTGTTCCAGTGTGTTTTTGGTGCAGTGATGCACGTCATTCAATTGAACATAGTTACTGTTACTTTGCTCTTTTTTAAATTTCTGAATATGAAATCTAAACTGAATGTGCAATATTTATACTCCAGTTTTAAGTATATAATAAGGAAGAAAGCCCTCTCTGAGGTGTATTTATCAGCCTTCGCTCTTAGTTGAACAATCTTATAGGAAAGTAGAAACATGAGGAACGGTAGAGAGACACTGACAGCAGCGTTTAGAAGTAGCCTGTTAAAGTACTGTACTAAAGATGGAGATTACAAATGAAATATGTGTAAAGAATTGCATGATGGAAGGTGTGCAACTGTACCAAAGCACAGAAAAGAGAACAAGTTACACTCCGTTTGAGCAACTGAAGAAATTCTGCATGAACACACTCCAGGGTTGGGCATAGGATGAACGTACAGAATGTTAAAAAGATTTCTGTAAATGTAAACTCRCTAGTGTGTAAGATAACTGTATGGTAAATGTACATAAGAGTCTGTACTATAGGACTACCAGGTATTTGAACTCATGTAAATCAGAAATTGATTGCAGTAGGTTTTTAGATTTGTGGTAAATCTATAGTAAACTGCAACATTACAAGTGACTTTCTTCAGTATTTAAGCATAGACTGAAGTAAAGAATGTTAGTTTGGTCAGTGCTCCTCTGTAAAAAGTGGGCATTTCTCTGAACTCTTGTTTTGACGGTACTCAGCACAGCTTTTATAAAGGTACAGTAAACACCATCTCTTCTCAGTTTCCACTGTCTTTTGCTTGTACAAAATCCTGTTTTTTTATTTTTATTTTAACTCCTGACATTTCAGTAAAACGTCAGACGCTCACCGTGTTCGCTGATTTTTTTAAATATTTTTTTATTTTTCTCTGCCTGGCCAAAGACGGCTTGTTGCCTTCCGACAAACATAAGATTTCTTCAGAGGTCTTGAGAATGTGATGCGCACCCTGCATTTTTCTAAACCATCACACACCGAATACACACCACTGAAGGCAGATTTGAAACTAGCCGAGAGGCAGACGGTGGTGGGCAAATTTTACTTGTTTTTATTAGCTTTGTAAATAGGTTTTAGAGGGAAAAGGCTGAAATATCAAATCTGAATAAAACTACTCACTGTACACATGTAAAGCCTCCTTCTAATGTATTTAATACTATTTGTTTTGGACCAGTTTTGAGGGTCACTTTTTTTTTAAGTGGCTCTGGAAGCTGAGCTTTAACTGCAACAAGTGTGTCTATTTATTTGTGATTTGGCCTTGGAAATGATGTAATGGAAATAAACAAGTTTGTACTGGTAATAACGTCTAGTCTGCTGTGTGTGTGTGTGTGTGTGTGTGTGTGTGTGTGTGTGTGTGTGTGTG